AACGTCCATTTCATGCGTAAGGGACGCTTTTACACACAGACGCTTTTACAAACAGACACTTTTACACACACCTTTTACACACAGACGCTTTTACACACAGACTCCTTTACACACAGACGCTTTTACACACAGACGCTTTTACACACAGAAGCTTTTACACACAGACTCCTTTACACACAGAGGCTTTTACACTCAGAAGCTTTTACACACAGGCGCTTTTACACACAGAAGCTTTTACACACAGAGCTTTTTACACACACACAACACTTTCACACACAGAGAGGCTTTTACACACAGAAGCTTTTAGGCGCTTTTACACAGAGAAAAACGCGCTTTTTACACACAGACGCTTTTACACACAGAAGCTTTTACACACAGGCGCTTTTACACACAGACGCTTTTACACACAAACGCTTTTGCACTTTTACACACAGACGCTTTTACACACAGACGCTTTTACACACAGAAGCTTTTACACACAGGCGCTTTTACACACAGAGGCTTTTACACACAAACGCTTTTACACACAGAAGCTTTTACACACAGACTCCTTTACACACAGACGCTTTTACACACAGACGCTTTTACACACAGAAGCTTTTACACACAGACTCCTTTACACACAGACCCTTTTACACACAGAAACTTTTACACACAGTAAAATTGCAATTTTTTGTCAGTTTTTGACGTCCAACGTCCATTTCGTGCGTAAGGGTTGCGCGGGACTACTCAAAGTCGCAATTTTTCCTCAGTTTTTGACGTCCAACGTCCATTTCGTGCGTAAGGGTTCCGATTGACAACTCAAAGTCGCAATTTTTCCTCAGTTTTTGACGTCCAACGTCCATTTCGTGCGTAAGGGTTGCGATTGACAACTCAAAGTCGCAATTTTTCCTCAGTTTTTGACGTCCAACGTCCATTTCGTGCGAAAGGGTTGCGCGGGACGCTTCAAAGTCGCAATTTTTCCTCAGTTTTTGGCGTCCAACGTCCATTTCGTGCGAAAGGGTTGCAATGGACAAAGTAAAATCGCAATTTTACCTCAGTTTTTGGCGTCCAACGCCCATTTCGTGCGAAAGGGTTGCGTTTCGTGGCGCTCCGGCGGCACCGCCCCCGCCTTAAGAGAGAATAGAAGAAGAGCGAGAGGAGATCTGCAGATGTGAAGGTGTGAAGATGTAGATCGGCAGATGTGAGAGTGTGAAGATCTAGATCTGCAGGTGTGAGGGTGTGAAGATCTAGATCTGCAGGTGTGAGGGTATGAAGATCTAGATCTGCAGATGTGAGGGCGTGAAGATCTAGATCTGTGAAGGTGTGAAGATCTAGATCGGCAGATGTGAGGGTGTGAAGATGTAGATCTGCAGATGTGAGGGTGTGAAGATCTAGATCTGCAGGTGTGAGGGTGTGAAGATCTAGATCTGCAGGTGTGAGGGTGTGAAGATCTAGATCTGCAGATGTGAAGGAGTGAAGATCTAGATCAGCAGATGTGAAGGTGTGAAGATCTAGATCTGCAGGTGTGAAGGTGTGAAGATCTAGATCTGCAGATGTGAAGGAGTGAAGATGTGAAGGAGTGAAGATCTAGATCCGCAGATGTGAAGGAGTGAAGATCTAGATCAGCAGATGTGAAGGAGTGAAGATCCAGATCAGCAGATGTGAAGGAGTGAAGATCCAGATCAGCAGATGTGAAGGAGTGAAGATCTAGATCAGCAGATGTGAAGGAGTGAAGATCTAGTATAACGGCTGCTTTTTTACGAAGAACCCTTCGCAGGCGCTCTCGGGAAAAGTTTTTGTCCGTTTTACACTTTTTAAAAACCATTCATAATTTCATGATTTTTGCAACCAAGCAGTGCTGCAACATGTGATACCGGCTCCAGCATTGACAAACAATTGCTGCTTGAAAACTTGGCTTGAATCAATGTATATTAACAGAATCTTGATTGGTCAATTTGTTTCTGCGGCCCATGGGGCCGCACCTTACTGTAAAAAAATGTACATGTAAATATAAGTGTAACTTTAAATTTCTATATATATATATATTTAAATAAATAAATATACCTGTATACATATATATATATATATTTAAATATATAAATATTTATATATCTATATATATATATATATTTATATATATATATTATGGATGCATTAGTATAGTTCTGGAACTACATGCATCTATAATGTTTTCAGGTAAGCAGCAAGTAGCAAACAGTTATTGCGACACCTTGTGCCGCAAGGTATATGTTCAAGAAAATACACGAACATAGTATATCCATAGATATATTGTTTAGAATAATTCCATTCCAAACAGGCACACAAATCTGCGGCACAATGTGCCGAAGTGTATATAGCTTGTGGGTGCAAAAACATGTAACTACTTTTTTCAATGCCAGCAACGCAAACGCTGCGCGGTTTCAGCTAACCACCATGTAGGACTTCTTCCTGCCAAAGCAGCTGGTACAATTTTCTCTTTGTTTGTGGTGGTCCACCATGAATGAAACTCTTCAGCTTTCTCCATCTCCAGCATTCGGAGTCGCACGAAAAAAATGTTTTCTGTTTCAATAGCTCCCAACACAATGCCAGGAAATTCACCCAGCAACACATCTTTTGCAGTGATGGTGCGCCCCATGTATTGCAATGAAGGGCTGACATGGCAAATGGTAGAGTTGAGCAAGGTACCTGTGGATGGGTCCGGTTTCTTTGCCCCAATCAAGTAGTTGGAAAAAGTGAACTTTCTCAAGGCTTCCAAGTAATGCTTCCACATTTCTAGCAGCACGAAATGGCTAAACTGCCCGTCTTTGCTTTTGGTCCAAGGGTCAAAACGATGTAAGCCAATGTGAGACTTGTACAGCTTGTGTTTTTTTCTCCAGGAAAGCAATCTGCGTGAAAGCCTGATTGTTTCAGTTGTTTGGGTAGGTGGAACCGAGCATGATGCTTTGGTCTGATGTGGTCATAACCAAATGCAGCCCTGGTCAAAGAATGATGTAAGATTTGAAGTTGCTGCAAATGCTCCAAGTCGGCTGCTTCCTCTCGCGTGATTTTCCGCAGCTCCATGGTGATGCGGCGCAAAGCCCGCATGCTTTCAAGGGCATCAGTGCATAGTCCTTGCGACCCCAAAGAACCTTCGATGAAATGATGAAAAATTGGAAAAAAACACTGGAGGTTGCTCGAATCACCTCTGTATGCTGCAGCTGTAAAATTTGCTTCGTTGGATTTTTTTTCTCCATGACAATGTGTTAGACTGGCCAGAGCTAGTCTTCCAATCCAACGACATAAAGTCGACCAAATTGCCAACTTTTTCCTCTTGCCATAGGCGATAAATTGCATTGACCTCCCAAGAAACGATGCCATTGGACCAATACATGTGCATCGTGTCTAAAAGGAAACACCAAGGCAAGACAGCCTCCCGAACAGTGCGGTCTGAAAGCCACGCAGCATCTGAATAATTGAATCCTGCAGCTTGTTCCTTTTTTTTCATAGCTCCCTTGCGTAGATTTCGTTGTTGCTCAGAAAGAAAATCCACAGTTCAAATATGTTTGCATCGCTTTGTTCGTGAAAACCATCCAAATTTGCTGATGTGATATCTTGAAAATAATCGTCAATCTCTTCTAAATTCGAATGCTTCTTCGCTGCATTTTTACAAAAGAGGCAGCATCGAATTGCCGAAGATCCTTTCAAACTCAGTGCAGCACGGACACTATCCAGATCAGATATCATCCACTTCACATCACATTTCAGTAGTGTAGTTCGATTGTTGGGTAAGGAAATTGGAAAACCCAAATGCAAATCTTCGTCAAGAATTCTGCGTAAAATCGAACGAGCCACGGCTGAAAAGCCTCCCACTACTTGTTCAATTTCATTGTGCTGGATCAAGCAGATGGGATGCCAAACTACATCACACCATCTCCAACCAACTTCTCGAAGGCTAAAATACCATAAGCTTGCCTTTTTGTCACTGTCAACGGATAACAGGTTTCCTGCTTGAGCTTCGTCGTTGTATAAAATCATTTCGAAGCACATACTTGGGTTTTGATCCAAACATTTTTGAATCTCTTTGGCATAGTTGGCGCTTGAAGAAACTACGCACTGCAAAAGTTTGATGACGCTGGCAATGTAGAAACAAATTTTCGTACCATCGACAGCATCGAGGCTGACTGGACTGTAGATGTCAGGACAGCTTTCCCCAACCAATCGCTTCCATTGTGATGGATTCACTTGCTATTCCGGCCGATCCAAGCTGCGACAAGCAGAATTAAAAATAGTTCGACGTGATTCTTCGGAAACTCCATGAAGACCTTGAGTGTCATGGATAGTGGATGTGGCTGCGGCTTTTCTCTTCCCCATGTGTCGACATGAAAAAACTTACCATTGCTCAAGTCCTATACGACAGCAGCATAGATACTTTTCTTTAGAGAACCTTATGTGGAGTGCTCAATGCTGACGTTTGTATGTTGTATCACAATGAGAACATATGTGCAAAATTGAATTACACCAACACTACACATAATTAATACACAAGGGCTTTCAAATCACATTTGAAAAAACCTATAGTTTGAAACCAGTATGGCATCTCCTCTGCATGAATCATGATCAAGGCGCGCTTTTCCAAATTGCTGCACACGATTGTCATATACATGCGTGGGACTTGTGAAACTCAAACCACAGACTAAAAGCATTTGACAGCGGCTCAAAGAGCCGTTTTTAGCTTATTAATACTGATAGCCTAAGAAGGCAGGTTGTTCAGCATTTTTTTTCCTTCACAGACCAGCATGTTGCTGCATCGCATCTGCAATCCCCATGCAGTCAGCTCTATGCACACGCTGTAAGAAGAAACATGAAGGCCGATTGCTTGCTGTTTCAAGCAAGACGCATTAAAAGTCATACGGCCTGCTTTCCAATCAGGGAATAACATCAAAATGGATTGCTGTCCGAGCAATCGTCCTGAAAGTCATAAAAAGCAAAAGAAACTGCCATTCAGGCCATCAGCAGCAGTGGCAGCAGTAGTTGGCATTTCACTTCTTGTTCTTGCGTGCCTGGCTGATGTTCTTCTTGATGTCGCTTCCCTTTTTAGCAAGGTCTTTGAGCATGGTCGTCACCTGCTTCTCATTGTCAAAGGGAAGACTGCTCAACTCGCAGTTGGGGTTCTTTGAGTAAAACGCCAAGGCCTGGGTGCACTTCACCTTGTACTCTTCAATCACTTTCATCTCATCTTTGAAAGATTTCACATGGTCATGCTCTTCCAGTCCTTCTGCAATTGCCTTTTGCATCACGTCACTGGCCTTGTGCAAAGCTTCTGCCAAGGGGATTGACAACTTGGAGCTCAGGGAAACCGTTTTTTTTGTCACAGCTTTCAAAAGTCTCTTTCGATGAGACTCCTCCTTCTGACTGGCTGCCTTTTCTTCTTTGGTAATCTTGTCTGCTTCGCGCTTCATCTTCGCTTCAAGCTGCTTTGGAGTGAGCTTCTTATTTGCAGCTCCCTTTGCTTCTGCGCCTGACATACATGTTTCATAAACATATTACATATGTTGACGTTAAAAAGGTTCGTCGTTGTAAATGAAAGGATCTTGCAAATGAATAATAGTTTCTGACATTGAGGGTTGCGGCTCATGGAGCCGCATTGGAGACTTCCAATGTGAGTGCAAACTTAAGACATAAATCCAAATATGAAATGAAAAAAAACTGTTCATGTGGATCAATGGTTAAGAACAGCAGCGGCTCATTGAGCCGCTTTGTTTCATGGCGCTTGTCAGAAAAAATGCACACTACTTTGGGCAAAATCTTGAGAAAGTGTATTCGATTCTTTTTTTGGGATGGCCTTCATCCTCAGAGTCAGAGATCAAGTCCAAAACCTCAGTCTTGTCCGTGACGGTAGATCTTTTCTCTGCGTTCGCGATCTCCTCATGAGGCTCCACCTCCACTGCCTTCCTCTTTCGAACCTGCCGTTCAGCTTCTACGATCTGCCGCTCGATCGTGTTCTTGATCTCGGCCTCGTTGACGGATGTCTCCGCCAACAGGAACGTCCACTCGTTCAGTCCATAGGACCACATTTTTGGGTTCCTGGCCTTGAACCCCTCGTCGCACTTGTACCCCCGGGCCTCGTATACCGAGACCGGGAGGTACGTTCCTCCGGTCTCCACCTTCTTTTGATTTATCTTTTCTTCTGCAAGGCTTGAGATCAGTGTGTCTCTGATAGACTTGTAGGAAAACATGCTCTTCTTGCTTTCCTCCTTCTGTTTTTGGCAAGCCACGAAGAACTGCTGCTGCTGTACTTCGGAAAGGGAACTAAAAGAGCTTGGCGGCCACTTCTGATGCCTGCGTAGCATTGTGTAGATGGCATGGCACTCCTTGCACCACAGCTCCCTTGGTCCCCTCACTACTGAGTCTTCCAACTCCAAAAACTGCCCGCATTTTTTGCAAGCAATTGATTGTTCAATCAAGTCGGTCTAGTCCTCTTCAAGGAAAGCATCACTCCGAACGAGTGATCCATCACTTTGCCCAGCTGAAGTTGCCACAGGGCCATCAGAACCTTCTTCGTAGACCACAGTGTCAGGCAAGTTTGCCTTTTCTAGCTGTTGCTCCTCACTAAGCTCCTGGTTTTCCTCTTCTTCTCAGCATCATCATCAACCACTTTCTCTTCCGGCTTCACGTCATCATGGTCAGCACCAGCATCCCGTTGAGTTTCCATCACTTGGGACGGTTCCAAGCCCTCCTGATTGTCAGGATGGTATGACGAATACTGTGTATCGGGGATCTCAATTGTCCGAACCTCAGCCTGGGAGGACATGGTGACAAAGAGACAGCGGCAGGGTGCCCTCCGAACTGATGAATCCAAATGGCAGCTGATATACAAAGTATAATACCAGTAAACTGCATTGAAAACTATGCGGCTCAATGAGCCGCATTTTGTTCTCACCTAGCCTAGACCGAAAATCCCACACATTGTCTCAAAGTCATCCATGTCCAGCAATGGAGGCAATGCTGAAATTCAACAGCGTCTCAGTGATTCAAATCTAATGTATTTGTGTTGTTTTTTATTGGATTATGTATATATTATTCATACAATATTTATACATTATTTATACATTATTCATACAATATTTATACATTATTTATACACTATTTTTACACTATTTATACACTATTTATAACACTATGTTTACACTATTTATGCACTATTTATACACTATTTATACACTATTTATACACTATTTATACACTATTTATACACTATTTATACACTATTTATACACTATCTATACACTATTTATACACTATTTATACACTATTTATACACTATGTATACACTATTTATACACTATTTATACACTATTTATACATGATATATATATATATATATATATTTACATATGTATATATCTATATATACAATATAGATATCTCAAGATAAATTGCGTCTCAGTGAGCCGCAGAAAAGTAAGACAGCATGTTTCTTTCTCCAGCAGCGATCATGTCAAAATTAAAAACTACACGCTTCTACACCTGTGGCCCTACTTGCGTCCCTTCTTGCCCTTGCGCTTGGAGTTCTTCTTTTTCTTGTTTGGCTTGGGCTCCGGCACCACAGGGTCAACAGGCTTTTGCTCAATACCCTTCTCATTGAACTCCTTGCCGTCCTCACTGGGGGTGTAGTACAAGTCGCTGGAGCTGCTGCCCTTGTCAACGGTCTCTTCATGCGGCTTTTTGTCGAAGATTCCGAGGGCTTTCATGACCACCCATTGGTTGTACCAGTAAGTCACCTGTTCCTCATCATAGGTCCCTGGATCGCCTCTAATAACTGAACCGTCGCTCATGATGGAAAAACCATATTTCGGGGCATTGGGATCTCGCAACATGGCAAGCGCAAGTCCAAGGTGACAGATTGGTTCTTTTGAGAAGAAAATCTATGTTCAATTCCATGCCCAATGTATCTACCAACCTGCATGTGAATCATGATTTCAGTAAAAAAAACACATGGAACGCTGAATCAGTTCAAGCGGTTCATTGAACCGCTATCACTATTCTTTGCAGCTGCACATGTTCTTTTCCAAGCTCCAAACTAAGGTGTTGGTTTTATCGTCACATAAACCTATCTCCAATGCAAATGCAGTCTACATTTATGGTGCTTGTGCCCATGTCTAGCTCTGATACATGCCTCAGTGCAATGCATGCAATGGTGCTCACAAGGGTATTGCCGCTGCACCGGCTGCTGAGGTTGGTGGTGAACAGGTGGTTGAGCACGTTCAGCTGCAGCTGCAGTGGGAATGCCACTGCCCGTAGAATCGCTTTCAGCTTGTCCTGGATCATAAGCAGATGGAATTGGCTGTTCACTGGTGCCACCCAAACGATGTAGCAACATACCGCAGATGTGAATGATCAACTGCAGGAGCCGGGTCATGCTTGCCTTACGAAGTTCTTCTTTCAAATTGGGCTCCATCATGTAAACTAGAGAACAAAATGCAGCTATCAGTCTTGATCCAGAGCAAAGCGAAGCAGTTGGCAATCTCTGAAGCAATTCATCTTGACAAGTGGCAAATTGAGGAAAAAGCTCCAAGTTATCATATCAAGGGCTCAATGAGCCGCAGTGTTTCATGATATATATATATATATATTTGAATCTACTGCAATGGAAAACTATTCTCATAGTTGGATTCATTGCGGCCTCATGGGGCCGCATATCTTGTCATTTGCCACTGGGAGGCAGTCATTTTTCATCAACTAGCACAGTGCTGGATCATGAGTCACAGTCTGTGATACAGGCATTGCCTTTGGAGGGATCTGCTTGGCCTTGGGGGGGACAGGCATCGGCTTGGATTTGATTTGGCCATGCATTGCCTGTCGCAGCATAAGCTGACTTCGCTTTTACACCACCCCTTTTGCGAAATTGTCTTCTAATCGACCTCTCATAGTTTCTCTTCGAGCCAAACTGTTCCTGAGATACATGTGGTGTTAAAAATTGAATTGGAAATTTAAAACAAACATATATATTTCATGTATTTAAAACATGAAAACAAAATTAAAACAATGTCAAGAAACATACAGATGACCTTCATACTTTGTTCCAGCCTTCCTCATAGCTGGAGGTGCAAAGTTGATAACATCGTTGGCTGCGCCAGCAACTGGAGGAGGTGGGCGTGGAGGTGGTAGTACAACTCTGCTACCTGAAGACTTGGCCGGCGGTGGCAAAGGTGGCATCGGTGGGACAGATGCAGCCATGGGCCGAGCCTTGGATTGCAAGGCCTGCTCTGCACCTCTTTCCTCGATCGCCTGTAACAGAAGGGCATTGAGGGTAGCATCATTAATCTCCTCCACCAACTCTGAAGGAATTGAAGGATCATGGCTGTCCTGAGGTTCAGGCTTCACTGTGAATGGATCATACTCAGGAGATCCTGGCTGCATCACCTCAACTGCGAGTCTTTGTTCATCGTCCCATGCCACCTGGTCAGCAAACATGTCAATCTCAATCTCCTCTCCGTCAGCGTCCAGCGCTGGAAGGTGCCTCATGGCCCCTCTGTTGAGAAAAAGCAGCTTCAGCTGCCTCCCAAGCTTCATAAAACTCCTCATTCTCAGCTGCATCCCAAGCATCATAAAAAGACAGCATCACTACAACGCTAAGACGACTTGAAGAGGAAAAAACAATTGGATAGATATATATATATAAACATATATATATGTGTCTTTTTTCAACATGCCAACTTCATGTAATTCCATGAAACTGCATTTACTATATCTGCGGCTCAAAGAGCCGCAGTGGAAACGCGACTCACATTAATATATGAACATGGATTCATGTGCTCAAAAATATGTGCGGCTCAAAGAGCCGCCTCACATGAAATGAGAAAAACATCAAAAGGAATCAGCCAGCAAAGATTCTTTCTCCACAACTTTGCATCAACGGTGAAACGCAAATTCAAACAACGCGGTACTTGCGCTTGATCCAACACGAGTCACAGCAACCTCGAACCCATCGGCAACTCGAGCAACCCTGAGGCTTCAATTTCACTCGCTGCATGCGGGTGATTGGCCCTTTGCAGTGAAGCATCATAGCACTGGCCGGGCGCTTCAGAGTTTTTGGCATGTCTGATGGTTTGGCTTTTGCTGTGGCCATTTCTTTCGAAGCGGCTTTCTGGCTCTGGGTAGAAGTTTTTGGCTTTGCCACTGTCTTGGCTTTTGCAGCTGCCGGACGCTTCATGATTTGCTTGAATTTCTTTGGTGTCTTACTATCCTCACGATCTTCTGTTGTTTCTTCATTTTTCTTTGCAGTTTCAGTTGATTTCTTCTCCTTCTTTTCATCGTTTCTCATCGACAAGGCCAACTCAAGTTTTTGGGCTACAGTAACAGCTCCAGCTGGAGCCTTCTTCTCCTTTTCCTCACTGCTTTCAGGGGCACCGTCAGTCAAAGCCAAGGCAGCCTTCTTGCTAGGTGTCTCAGGTCTTGGTGGCACCACTTCCACCTCTTTTTTTGAAGCAGCCGGAGTAGGTGGCAATGCCAACTGAGAAGAACTGCTTGGCAATGCCAGTGCAGTCGACCGCTGGGCGAGATCGCCAATCGCAGGTGTCGACATTGCCTGCTGTGCTGCCAACTGCTGCGCAGCAAACTGCTGCACTGCCATTTGCTGCGCCGCCATTTGCTGCGCCGCTAGCTGCATCATATTCATTTGCATATTCATTGGCATGAATGCAGCAAGCCCAGAAGCCTTTGGAACCTGCAGTTGAAGAAGTCTGCTGTTGGACCTTTGAGGGACTAGCAGCATGTTCTGCTGGAGATTTTCCATGGTGATGCCATCAGGTAATGAAGCAGGGGACTCACTGTCGCCAAAAGCCTGGCTCCTCAATGCACTGTCCAAAGTCGCAGGTGTCGGTGGCAACTGCACCAGGTAATCTCCTGCCTCAGAGGTTTGAGTGCCAGTACATTTCAAAGAGTTCAAATGAGCCTTCATCAGTCCCTTCACACTCAAGTAGTTGGAACGTAGCTGGAGACCATCTGAAAAGATCAGCTGATCTCGGATCAGAAGCACTGTTGTGACCATAGCGTAGGTATCCTCACTTGGGTACTTCAATCCAAGCTTACAAAGGCGGTTCATGATGACACTGCATCGCTGACCCAAACTCAAAGTATCATCTAAGACTGCGTTCCAGTCAGACTGGCTCAAGTAAACTGGAAACCAAGTAAAGTCTTGGAGTGAAGCTCGTTCTTTCATTCCACGGTGTTGAATCTGCATCGACTCTTGCACCTTGGCCTGGATGGCCCGTGAAATTGTCTCCTTCATCGCTGTTGGCCACAAAACGTTTTGCTGAAGCAATGCCAACAAACTGCTCAGCCCTTTGAC